GGTGACTGCAAACAAATGTTTTCCCCTCACTTCTACCCTTAAAAATTTAGCGCAGATAGTCTAAAAGAACGACGGGATAATAAACTTATCTTACAGCTCTTAAATTTACTAGATATCTGGAAACTGTGGTCTGTTATTTCTCACATGTCGCTTAAAAAGTGGTTAGAACACTAGGGAAAACTTGAGCGGTTCCAATAAAAGACTAGCGATTCATTTGCATTTGCGAATGCTATGGAACAATTTGTGAACGAAAATCGATTTTTCCGCAAACAAGAATTTATAATTGCAATTGATGTGGTGCCACAATTTAGTGCAGTGGTGTCTATGAAGATCAGATTTGTGAGAAATTCAAGGAACCGAAAACAGGAAGCAAAAGGCAATAAACAGGTGTGGGGGAGGTTCGAGGCGAGTGCAGGAATGAACCACTTGGAAAGTGTTGGAATCCCTGGATGCTTTTGAATGCGTTAATGTTGTTTTCGCAAAATGTATACGAACTACTATAGGATGTTTATGAGTGACAAGGAAAGGACTTCTATTCTACTGTGAAAGTACTTATACTGATTTAGTATGCAACATTTTTCATGAAAATGGGGCCGATAGCGTAGTACTAGTGATGTTATTCATCAGGAGCACGGTGCGGGTTCCAACCAGTTTCGGGTTCACCAAGCCGCTCTTTTCTACGAGGTGGGGAAATAGGCACCAGTCTTGTCTGGGACCACGTCAATCCTTCAGCTCCACGCAGGAACGCTCTAGCGCAGCTATTCTGTGATTTAATAGGGAATCGCCTCCACCATCATTCAAGGGCATTCATAAAGAAGACAACAATCCGCAAGCAATAGCCGAACCCATACGCAGAAGCTCGAAGACCATTATAGACGATGGATGTGATGAAACGAAAGGAATGCAAGATGTGCTGGGATTCGCGCAATAGATGTGAAGATGGCTCATCTAAAATAAAAAATAAAAGAGATCATAAATATTTAGGATCGAAATTCTAAAGAAGCTTACTCTTTTTTATGATAAGGTCGTATTTCCATGAATGTGATGGACAAGGATTTGTGAATTAGCATATTTTAGGCGAGGAGATGATGAGCGCCACTCGCGAATATAGAATGAGATAACCAAGAACTATATTTGCGCTTATAATATTTTTAATACTGAAGGGTGAAACGAATTAATCTTAGCGGCCAATCGCATAAACCTAACTGGGGGATAATCCGGGGAACAACAATATTGGGAAAAGATTCCTTAGCCATCACCCTTACCCAAACTGAGAAGTAACTAGATATTTCCATACAAAAGCCCAACTAAGAGCAAATCAATGTAGTTTATAGTCAGCATCTTAGAAGAAAACTTTACAAAAGGAGACAGACCTCCTTTCGGCTCAAAGGAGTATTGTGATGACGTCATGGGAAGGAGGCTTTCTCGGGAACAGAGGAAAGAAATCTTTCAGAACTAGTAACATGTACAACCAAATGCATATTACGATGTGATTTACAGTATTGTTAGAGGGCACCATCCGTTTCGGTGCAGAGCAAATATGAAGTATGCTAGTAGAGAATTGTAAATGCCAAGACAGCTACCATCTTGAAGAATTTTTATGTATAACGGATGCATTTAAAAGTTTATTAGCAGAGAGGCTTGCGATGACGTAGTGGTCTCTGCCGAGACTCAGGTAGGGCTGGCCGCTTATGTCTACTACGATTGCCGTAACGTGGAGGCTGGTTGCAACTCATCGATTGCTGTCTAACTCTCTGGCTGTTCTCTTTGTGTATCGTCTTGCAAAAGCATCTCATCAGAACCGATTCAAGTAAGACTCATTCCATGCTTTCAAGAAGTTCAACCCATAAGTATTACTTGGCCGACGTCGTAAACTCGTCCAACAGCGGCGATAATACTCTGCTTGACACCCACGCCGACCATTAAGGCGTAAAGAAATGGAAGACAAACACTTGTGAATCAGAAAACTGAACAAAGAAAGCAGTGGTGAAAACCACTGGATGGTTGCCTTAACCGATTAATGATGCTACAGTAGAAGAACAACCCTACTGGTTGTTTAAGTTGACACCATTTTTAAATCGAAGAAGAATCAATCATGCAAGTTAGTGATTCCAGATTTACATGATAAAAAATATCTTGCCGCTTGGAAATCATAACAAGTTAGGGATTTATCGACAGCATTCCAAGAAAGTTTGGCATAAGGAAAGAGATATAAATTTATGCAAGTTCAACATATACAATGCATGGCGACACTTGAAAACGCGAAACGAACAAGCGGAAATGGAAGAAGTATCCTTTTACTGGGCGCTGTACCATGAAGGTAAAGCGAATGGAAGTGGGTTGAAAATACGACAGACAGACTAGCATTACAATGGAACGAATATCCTCAGAGTGACATTTGAGTATTAGTTCTCCTTATTTGGTTTCTGGAATAAAACTGTAGTTATAAAAATATTTTTAAAAAAATAAAAATAGGACGACTTCCGAGAGCGTTCACCATCCGAAACACCATCGATAACTGCCGTCATTTGTACCTTCAATGGGAATACTTGTAAGTTTTGATTGAAGAAAGTGAATGAGGGAAGAGGCTATTCCGTTTTAAGAGAAAAAATGACGAGACTGGGTTAATAAGCTGTTTCTGCAAAGGCTTACCATTTCGAACTTAGGAAAATAGCCCATTTTTAGTTGGTAGTCTTATGACGTTAAAGAAACCTAATTTTATTGATCAAAAATTTTGTGGTACTCGAAATGTCCTTGAAAAGTAATAAAGTCTCGAAGAAAAAGAAGACAAGTTGAAGACAACGGCGGCTATTCATGGTAACACAGTTCGAAAAGCTCATCGAAAGAGTTGGTCAGGCCATGAACACCTCCCATAGTAGTACTATGGCCATCACTGATCGACAGCTTGAGGAAGAGGGTCGCCAAGCTGTTTCCAAGTCTGCATGCAGAGTGATGTTAGCGCATCAGGGCGTTTGCTATATATTGGCAGCTACGGCGTTAAAAGTGTTCGCACGCAACCTCTGTCGTTCTAATGCGATTAGCCGGATAAGGAGTTTATGAACTCCAACGATCCCACCTCAGGATAGACTCATGCAGGGACGGATTCTGATAGTGGCTAGTCGGTATGTCATGGATTGTCGAGCAAGAAAGGAAACTCGTTTTTCACTTAGTTCCTGCGAGAATAGTGGAATTTTTTAATCACTATTGAATGAAGAGCGCATTCAACTGAGAGCCCACATTTCCTTCATATGCTGCAGTTATCCCGCCCCTCTCAATGACTTCTCGCCACATCCCTACTGAGAAATTCCTCGAGCGCTTGAGGAGTGTAGAGCTATGACTTATCTTCTTAGCAGATACAACGAACCTCGTCAAGAGCTGGCCATTTCCATAAAGGAGCTCAATTGTGAGCAATTCGTTGTCAAGAATTAGTGGAAATATTCTGGCCGCGTGGTAGCTAGCATCATTAATATTCACCTGAGTTTGCAACTAGCTGTGTTCACCTGGTAAAGTCTTGCGCCCGACTCACAAAAAACACTTACCCGACCAGCAAATTGCCAATCAGATAGAGCTCCGCTAGGACCGATGCATTTCATTGAACGGGGTGATTCAAGAAGTGTAATTAATAAAATAAACCTTGACAAGTTTAGTTTCGGTTTTAATGTCAGGATTAAACTTTGGTCCTTCAGTTTTACTTTTGTTTTCTTTGGTTTTGCTCAAGATGTGTGGTTACTGCACATTTTTTCCTTTCATTTACCAATATTTATTTCTATTTTTTATTTTATTTGATCCGCCTTCACGTCTAACTTGAGGATCTCAGCACTTCTCACATTCGATTCGTTTCCTTGCATGCATTGTCCACCAACAACTTCAAACTTTTATGCGTGGCTTCAGTTGCTCCTCGAGGATTTTATTTTCATCTTGAATGTCGTACAATGACGGTCTGTCGATTTTTCCTGTGGATCTGAGATAGCCAGGCTGGAGGGTTCCCAACTGGATTCCAGAGAATAATTTTTTTCCTACAAAAGTCCGGTACCGATTTTCCGACCCCGGAGTGATAAGAGGCTTGGGTGGCCCAAAGCGGAATCGAGCTAGCGCCGTGATGGCGGACATGGCTATCACTGTGCTATCCGCCCTCTCACTTTCCAGTACATATATATATATATATATGTATATATATATATATATGCTTTGCTTCTACTCTTATAAATCGACTTTTTATGGATATTTTGTCACACATTTGCATGTTAAATTGCTCAACCTTTATTTACACATTCTCTTTGCGCCATTTTTCGATTGTTGTTTTTTTCCCTTTGTTCCTTCTTTTCCTTTTCCTTTTTTTCCTTGCATATTATTTACTACGAAGCAATGATTAGTAATAGCTACCATTCTTAAGACTAAATGCCGAAGCCATGGTCATTCCAGAAAATCTCTCCAGAATTGCGGCTTCATTGAGTGGACCGCACAAAGTGCCGTATTTTCATAATTCGCTTTTCATTAATTCTATCTTAACAAAATTATAGGACTAGAACGAAATCCTTACGCACGTTATAAACATAGTCAAGAAATCGTTACTTAGAGTATTCATTTCAAGAGGACGTATTTTCAAATGCGCTTATCACTGAAGCCTTCATTTGGTGAATCTGGAAAATGTCTGAATTCCACGAGGGTTTGGTATTTGAGAACCTTTTCGCAAAAACGAACGAGATTAGTGCCTGACGAAAAGGCACCCTGTAGAACGGAAATGGTTGCGGCCGCCAATACATCTTGCAATGGCAGAGCGTAATTGTGTAGAATTAAAGCTGTCTGCCGAATCAAAGTGTTACTTCTTTTCTGCTCTTAGGTTTAGTCAAACAAGTAGTCCGACTCGATACACATGTCATCCTGTTTCACGTATGATCAATATGTTTATTTTATTGAGTGGTAAATCACAGGTCACAACAAGATGATTTCATAGCACCACACGTTCTAGAATGCCGAGTGGATGCATCTCCGGATGTGTCTCAACTGGGCCACCACACTTTGCTGTCGACTCTCTTCTCGAAATTCCAACCATTCTCGTTGTTGATTCGTGTGTCGTCTAGATTCCTCCACGAAACCACGTACGGAGCAATCGTGGGCAGTGCGACAGGGTTACCAGGTTTCAACGGTTTTGCAGCGGCTGCAAGATTCTATAGAAGAGAGCGAATCATCATATGGGGAAGGTATTAAAAGTTTCTTGACATACTGCTTAGTAATTCTGTTAAGTGTCTTTACGACGCAAACTCTTGTCTAGAATGGACTTGGTTTATTCATAAGCTTATACGAGGTTGTTACAAATCTTTATGATAGCAGTCGCTTCACCAATTTCGATTCCACCAGAACCACGATGATTCGAGTCGAGTGTCTACAACAGTTGCTTCTTCGTTCGACAGCAGTCTTCGCAGTCGTTGCATGAAGTAGCTATACCCATCAGTGAACTTTTATTCTTCTTGCAACGGTTGAATGACCTGACCTCACGTGGCAGTTGCCAGAATACAAGACGGTCATTGGTCGCCTACCAACGAAAATTGTTGGTTTTCGCGGTGATAATTCACCTCGCAGCAGCCACTCTAATGAAGACGATCCCACAGAAACATTAACCATATTGAAATCAATAAATGGAGATATTGATTATCCACGTCTTGATTGAATATTCCATTTAACTCGTCGAATTGTTCAGCTTAAACGAGGTTGTTATACAACTTTTATTCGCCTAACGTTTTGCCATCTTCGTTCCCTAAATCCTTAAAGCGGATGATGATCCGAGTGGATAGTCCACAGTCGTTCGTCTTCTCGATGTGGTATCTTCGTCGTCGTATCGAGTTGAATCTTCTTCAAGCACAGCTCGAATAAAGCAACCTCACCCAGTAGCACTCTTTCACACATTCTTTAAGCTGAACAATTCGAAGGCATATATTGATTATTCATGCTGAGGTTAAGTGAAAATTGGTTTAGTAACAGCATTTCACTAAACGTTTAATTTTGATTAAAGTTAAAATTGGGTGATCGACTCCATTTTGTATTTCATGGTGCCTCTTACCACTGCGCTACAAGTGCCTTCTTTAATAGTGGAAAGATGAAATATTATCTCTAATAGTGAAGGAAAAATGATAAAAAAGTAACTTTCTGGCCAGAAGTAATTCTCTGAGAAGGAATTTGGTGCCTGAACTTAATGTGCTATAGATGGTGAACACATTTATGCATGCAAAGAACACTAGAAATGAGATGTTCTCACCTAAGAGTGGGTGTTGCACGAGCGCCACGTCTGATCCGAACCAATCCTTTGCGTAGTTGGACTGCAAATTGTAGTACTTCCAAGAGAAAACCTTTCTTTTCACTGGAGTCGCGATGAGCTCCAATCTCGTAAGGTTTGTTCACCAAAGACCTCACCTCACCGAAACGTTATTTTTTTGAATTACATATAAACCCAGAACTTCTTTGGATTGTGATAGATATTCACAGTAGTTTGTTTGCAGTCGAATAGAATTTTCAAAATTTTTGCAAAACTCCGGGGCGCAGGTGTCTGCGGTGGTGAACGAACGCGTTATCACCTTTTGCGGGAGCTAACACGTTCTCCACCGCACCATGCGTGCCCTTCATTTCGTCTTTCTCTCAAATAGTTCTATCGATCTGTGCCGTCAGCAATCAGCCATCAACAGGATTGATCTGGAGAGCCCAGATCAGCAATGGACCAAGGTGAGGATGCAGTCGAGATCACAGTAACTTGTTATTTACTGCCTGCTGCAATTTTTCATAGTAGGATATTATGTGTGATACAACTGCAATGGTACTAAGATATCTCAACACTCCGAGGCGCGGGTGCCTGCGGTGGGGAACGAACCTTTCCGGGGGATAATGCGTTCACCATCGTACCACCATGTTTAATTTTTATTTTCTGCCTACTACAATTTTTGCGACAGGGTATTATGCGAAATACAGCCACAGCGATGCTGAGATATTTGCAAAACTCCGGACCGCAGGTGTCTGCAGTGGAGATGAACACGCTATTTCCCCTTTCCGGAGCTAATGCTTTCAACACCATGCCATGCATGTCCTTCGTTTCGCCCGTCTCTCAGCTACCACCATTGTGATTGTTTTTCACATAGTACCCCAACGTAAAAAATTGTAAAAGGTAATAAATAAAGACCTGACATTTTCACGATTTCTCATTGTTTTCAACAAAAGAATCAGATACCTTTAGACTTTTTTCACCAGTTTGTTAACTATACTTGTTGCTTTTAGTTCGTTTTTGAAAGAACGCTCCAGAATGATAATTGCGAAAAGCCTGTGTTGCTCAACGGAATCAAGCAGTACAGACTTTTCAAAACAAAAAATCTCAATGAATTTTTAGAACTGTAATTTCAACATTTTTATAGAAAAACAACCCTCTCGCTCTAAATAATTGTTCATGAAAAGTAAAAAATTTGTTGTTGTTCTTGTCTTCTTGTCTTACATGACCTGTCTTCACTTCTACTGTGCGGATCGCAACACTACTCACATTCCCTTACTCGCACCCATCATCCACGAAGACCTTCCAACTTCTACGAGTGGTTCGGTTGCTAATTGAGGATGCTTCATTTTATCTTTAATGTCGTAGAATGCTGATCGAGCAATTCTCTCTGGAGTCATGAGATAACCGGGTTGAAGCGTTACCAATTCGATTGCAGAGAGCGATTTTTTTTCCAGACAAGTCAGACACCAATTTCCCGACCCAGGAGGGATGAGAGGCTTGGTTAGCTTGGAGCAAAATCGAAATAGCAGCATGCTTGTTATTACGGTCAACACTACCACTGTGCTATCCGCCCCCTAAATTGCCATTAAAACTACTAATTCATTCTGTTAGAACACCCTACGCCAACTTTCGTAACGTCTGGGTAATCGAATGAACGAACAAAACTTAATCTAAATTTACGAAATGGACACCACTGTTATTTCGATGCTCTTCACAATTTTTGACCAACGTTTATTCTTCCTCACTGCCGATTTTTCTCAAAAAACAGTGAAGGCGGCAAAATACAGGAAATGAATCGCCGATGACAATTGTCGCTTGTCTCCTTACTGTTTTCTCCAACCCAAGGAGTGACTATGGCAACCATAGCACTAACAGAGAGTATGAACGTCTTGTTCGACACTGAATCATTGGCGAAGAAGTCTTTATCAGCTTGGAAATCATTGAACCTGATTTCTTCAGCCGTCATCGAAAGGCTTGATGGCACTTGTATCACCGGACAGGAACTGTCCAAGGTTATACGTAATCACTATTCCGATTTCACTGAGATTTGGAAGTCGTATACATCTACCAATGGTAGCGTTTTATTTTCAACAACGTAAAGTTTTTAAGTTTCTAAGTTTGGTTTCTAAGAAGACATCAGCAATTCACGACGTTAGTCTACACTTAATTGGAATCCCTGGTGGTGATATTTAAACCCATTCCAGCTTGAGTAAGTCTGTCAGTGGCACAAAATCCTGGTAGAATATGCGCATAGAAATCACGTCACCCTATAAAAAGTAACGAGCACGGACCACCGCTTTTGTGTGATATAAGACTCTCAAATATTCAGTTTTTTCAGTAAAATACAAAATTTGGTAGATACTTTCCCGGTGTTTTTGCCTTTTATAACCATACTTTGTGGTGAGGGGATTCTTCCTACTGGAGGGTCTCCCAAGCTGAGAAGTCCGGCGTTTCCATCACGAAGCCTGGTTAAGAGTAAACCAATACCAGGATCCACCACCGGCCTGGTATCAAATTAGTTGCATGGTGACAAATCTCCCTCTGATCCACAAGGGCTGGATTTGCCTGTGGTGGTGAATACCTGGGGCAGACTTTGGCCAGGCTGTCCTTGGGATTCCCGGGAACAACAATGGCTTAACCAGCAAATCTCCGAAAAATGGAGGTTATGCCGGGGGCTGCACAACCAGTGAGGATGGGCCGTTCAAGTATTAAGCACGTAAGTAGTTTGCGGTGAACATGGTTTCTCTTCAAAATAGAGTTCACTGAGAGCAACTTAAAAAAATTAACTAACATTTTTAAACGGAATCTTCACAGCAGAGTAGACATACGGAGAAAATTCGAGATCGGCAGCATTTTGGCAGAGCGCCAAAGGTAAGAAGGTTGCCAGCCACAGCACTCGCATTCGGACAGTGTAGGCATTCCGAAGAACGAGTTCTAACGCCAACCCGTCTGGGACAGGTGTTGACAGGAAACGAACATGACAGGAGACTGCGGTCAACACCCACCTTCAACCCCGTTGCCTTGCCGAAGAGGGCGGAGTGACCACTGATGTTTGGGCAGTATGCAGTGAGGGAGTGGAGTAGAGTAATGCTCTACGAGCACTTAAACGCTAAAACACTATGCCAAAGGAGGAGGTGCGTTATTTAAGAAAGTATATCATTTATAAGACGGCTAACTAAACTAAAAAAATTAAGTAGAACAGTAAGTTAGAATTACTGGAGTTAAAGTTGGCTAAGGAACTTATCATTGTCTGTATCTAGCTGCGATATTCATTCGTCACAGTGGATGTGGAAGGAAAGCAGCTTTCCTCACTCGACCGACAAATCTTAGCACGTAGTGAGCTTTTAGCTTGAATAGCCATTGTTAAAATTTGTAGATCTTTGCCTACATAAGTGATCTTCTTCTAGCAACATGAAATTCTGATTTTTTTGGAACCCGCGAGGCACATTACTTCCACTTTTTCTGGGTGAAGGCGTACGCGAAAGCAATTGAACCAATGGGATTTTGTCCAGTAGGACGTAATGGTATTAGGTTGCTCAGAATTGAATGATCGCTTCAAAATATCTTTCGTTCTGACTTCCCAACGGCCTACTGTCCCATCATGGCTGGGAGGTGTTCCTGGGTGTCGGGCTGCGATGGACAGCGGGGGGATTATTCTTCCCCTGGCAGAGCCTCCCAAGCTGAGGAGTCCGGCGTTTCCATTAGAAACCTTAGCTAAGAGTAAACCAATACCAGGACCCACCACCGTCCTGGTATCAAAGTCGCATGGTGGCAAATTTCCCTCTGATCCACCAAGGGCTACGACTGCCTGTGGTGATGAAGATTTGAAGCAGACTTTGGCTAAGCCGACCTCTGGACTCCAGGGAACCACAATGGCTTAACCAGCAAATCCCCGAAAAATAGAGATTATACTGAGGTTGCACAACCAACGAGGATGGGCCGCTCAAGTATCAAGTAAGTAAGTATTGGTTTAATGTATTTTTTAAGAATAAAATAATCTGTGTACCTTGCAATATCATATATCTTTTGAAGGCTGATTTTATCTTCTTTCTAACCACACCTTTATAGTTTCCAAGATCGACTTTCTCTTAATCTCGGCATTAGATTATAAATATGTCGCTTTCCTGTTCAGCAATCGCAAGATTGTTATAAAGCACACATTTATTTCGGTAAAAAGGAGCACACAAGACAGCGGTAGCTGACGTTTCAACAGTATGAACGATAATTACAAGATCTACGCGTTGTTGAAAAACCCACCGTTTTTTTCACCTGTCTTCCATCAAGGAAGAACAACCGCTTGGAATCGCAAATGGTTGATAACTGCACCACCCCACATCAAAAATAAATTCTGAGTTATGAGGCTAGATCACGTGTTATCTCTGGGCATTCTTCCCTGCTACTCATTCCTGGATTCTTGGCATTTATCGAAAAACCCCTGAGAAGTTTATGCGTTGGTGTTTTGGAATCTTGTCCGATATTAACGACTTTTATATCAAAATCGTCTCCGGTATGCTTTTGTATCCTATGCGCGTCCCTAGTGACGTACCTTGTCTTATTTTCGTTTGCCATCTTAGTGTTCCTTTATAAAAAGATAAAGGATAAAGCTCTCGGCGTTGATCAATCCCTGAGGGATGCGCTATGCATTCGACTTCATTAAGTACCGTTAGAGGTGGTTGAATGTATATGTGGCCTTTTACAATGACTCGCGGTGGTCTATCGATATATCGAACCAGTGCTGCTGTCCTCCCAGACAAGTCTGGTACCAATTTGTCGACCCCGGAGGGATGGGGGCTTGGCTGGCCATGGGAGCGGGGATCGATTCCACGTGTGTGTCGCAGAAGCGCTTCCAACTACTGCGCCGCATGCGCTCCTCCTTTATCTCCTTTATACGGATATTTAGTGATCTGCCTGTTTCACCGATGTATTCGTCTCTGCAAATGCTACAAGAGATCGGGTATGTCGTACCTCAATTCATGCAGTCATTCCTGCTATAAGGGTGAATTACGCAGCTCTGTGTTTTACCACCGATTACTCCAGATCTGTCCTTCTTAAGCATCTCTTTATCGCTACACTTATTTTATCGCTATTAGAGGGCAAAATAAACGCGATTATGTTTCGGCGAAACCGTTCGTTTTGGGGCGTCGCTTTCCTTCTAAACTTATTTGGTGGGGTTACTATTTCGTATCCATTGGATATTGGATACTATTTGCCAAGCAAAGTCGCAGACTCTTTCTTAGAAGAAGAAGAATCTTCCTGTGGTTTCCCACATGTGCAGGTGGCTGGCTGTTCGAAACATATTTCTCATAAGCACCCTCTTTGTATGTGAAGGGTGGGAAGAAGGGAAATGAATCAGGATGTTTTTGCTTGGTTGTCGGTACCACTTTGTCATATAATCGCCACGTGATAGGTTGACTTGAAAGTTAAGAAATGGAAGCCAGTTTTTTTCGATTTCACTCAGGTGAATTTAATCCACTCAGACTTGTCTTTTAATAATTTAAAGCACTTGTCCATCTCCTGCGTAGAGAAGATGACAAAGCAATCATCTATATATCTGCAGTAGATTAGCGGCCGGAAACCGAGAACGGGCCCTACTATTTCGGACATGAAAACGCAATGGGAAGGCTTGGTGCCATTCGCTGTCCCATTGCCAACCCCCTTACTCGCGCATAGTATTTCTCATAGCATCTGAAAATCGAGCAGTTTAGGTACTCCTTTAAGAGAGCCATAAGCTGCTGGGTGGACAAACCACGCATGTTTATTCTTCCTTCATGCTTAACAGGAAGTTCGAAGATGGCTTACATTGCAGATTCATTTGATACGTTGGTGTATCATGTCTCTATACTTTGTCAAAAGATAAATTCTTTCTACTACCAAGTTTGAGCCCTGCAATCTTAGATGTCAAAACGAATTCTCGTCAAATTTTTTATTATGAGTTGAAACTCGGTCGTAGTGAAGCAAAGAAGGCTCGAAGCATTAATGAAGTTTGGGATGAAGGCAATGCTGGTGAATCAACAGTGCGAACATGGTTCCGGAAATTCCGATCTGGTGATTTCAACCTCGAAGATAGGGACGGCCACGGATATCCCAGTGAACTCGACGACGACGAATTGAAGGCACTACTAGAAACAAACACGTCAGCAACTGTTCGAGAGGTTGTAGAACAGCTTGTCGTAAGCACAGGAAGAAATTCCACTAACTTGAATTATCACATACGAAGGACAAAAAAACGCGAAAAGTGGGTGCCGCACAAATTACGCGAGAATCAAGAAAATCGCCGTTCTTAAAGTGCGGTCTTGACTTATTCTGCACAACAAAAACAACCCTTTTCTTGATCGAATTGTGACGAGCGATGAGAATTGGATTCTGTACGACAACCGGCGACGTTCGGCTCAATGGCTGGATTGCGATCAGCTTCCGCAGCACTTTGCAAGGCCTAAATTGCACGAAAAATAGTTATGGTGACTGTTTGGTGGCCTGCAGCCGGGCTGATTCATCACAGCTTTTTGAATCCGGGCGTAATGATTACGGCAAAAAGTGCTACTAACAAGTCGACGAAATGCTCCAGAAACTCCAACAACAACGAGCGGAATCAGTCAACAGAAAAGAACCAATCCTTCTCGGCGACAAACACCGGCCTCACGTTCCGGAACCAGCGCTGCAGAAGTTGAACGAGTTATGCTACGAAACTCTGCCTCATCCGCCATATTCGATACACCTCTCGCCTACCGACTAGCACTTCTTCAAGCATCTTAACAACTTCCTGCACGAGAAATGCTACGCCAACCACGATGACGCAAAAATCTCTTCAACAAATTCATCACTTCCAGAACTCCAGAATTTTATGCAGCTGGAATAAATCAATGAATTTTTCATGGGCAAAAATGTGCAGACTCAAATGGTTTCTATTTTGATCAATAAAGTTTTGTTTGAAGCAAGTTATGACATTTCAAGTAATATAATTAAAAACGCTCATTTATTCCTGGACAACCTAATATTTCCCGATGCATCGTTTGTGTTTCCACCTGCTACTTTCCTTCCAAATTTTAAAAAATCGAGTTTTCTTTTTCACTCTTCAAAAACTTTAACTTTAAAAAGTTCAAAACCTGGAAATGTGTTATAAAAATGACGTATTTGCTTAGGGGGCTCAGCAAAGTTTTTTTTATAAAGCTTTGAAGTCTTAAACGCAACGGTAAAACGAAAAAATTAGGCCAGTTGTTGAAACACAGCTTCGCGTATGATGTGTTAAATGTAAGCTCACAATGGACAACAAATACGTTCCTCTGAACTAATTAGGTTACTTAAAGAATAATAGATGCTCAAAGAACGGGATAAAAAGAAGAAAGGATTAAACATGAGGCATTAATTAATCCCAGATGGATGCGTGTGATACCAATTTGCAGACTCAGATGGATAGAAGCACTAAGGAGGTCAGGGACCAGGATCGAACCAACGACCACAAAAGTATTGCACTCCACATCTAAACATTGCGCTACATGTGTTTCTTAAAATACGGCGGTATTTGGAATAAAAGTAGACCGTAACATATTTTCAGCGTAACGGTCAACATTAACAATTGGCCGGTCCAATGATACGAGACTCGGTACAGGACTCGCTCATTAGCCAGGGCCTTCATACTTTTGCGACTGTTCGAATGGTGGAAAAGGAGTGAGCAAAGATGCACTAAGAAGCAAGGGGGAGGGATATCGTAGAACATCATGATATGAAACTGTTTTGGAGCGATCCCAGTGGAAGTCTTTAACAGTTACAATACAAACTTGTGAATTTTGGATTCTGGATAATGACAATGGAAGTCCAGACTTTACCAGGTTATAATCATGTCGAACGATTTAAAGAGCATTTCGCGACAAATATGGTACAAACGAAAGCCTTATGTATCCTGTA